TGATGTATTTGATTAATAAGAATTCAGCTATGAAACCCAAATCTTTCTCTATAATCCATTCATTCAAAAACCTGTAACTAGTCCTCTACTCTTGAGAATCAACTCTGAGTTCTTCATCAACACTGGCTTGGTCTCTGTAATAAGCCTCTATTAGAATAATTGTACAAGTAAAAGATTGGTGAATGGCCTTTTGAACCTTCTGAGGCAATACAAAACCTGTTATTTTATAATAATGACAATAATATATTAATAACACAATCACAAAAACACTAAGTTGTTGTTTGTTTGTTTGTTTATGTTATATCTCAAAAATCAAAGAGAAGTGACAAGTTTAGGAGTAGGCAGATTAGGACAACCATTAACCTCAGTTACAAGTTCAACAAATCTTTTCTTAACTCTTTCTCTCCTTGAAGCCGTAAACGCATCTTATTTAGTGTGGAATTATTGGATGTATATATTAACCAAAGTACATATCAACTATTCATGATAGCATATAAAATATTTAGGATGAATTTTCAGAAAACTTGAGAAAATGTGCAAGTAGTCAAATCTTAACCATGGAGATGAGCGTAACCATTAACCTATGTTTCTAACAAGTGAAAATCATTAACATATTTTTTTTCCTCTCTCTTTGTATATTTAGCTAATTTTGGAAGGATTTGTGTAGTTTTAGGAACGCTTTCCAGAAAATTTGATGTTAATAAATTTGAATTTTTTTTATGCTTGGTGTCTTATTGTTTGGCTTACGCATGTTGATATCTTTGGTAGGCTCGTGACTTTGCTTATGACATTGTTAGTTTCTTGCTTGTGCTTGTGAAACTGTGTATTGTTTTTTAAATTTCTGGAAGGATTTATGTGGTTTCAGGAAAGCTTTCCAAAAAATCCAATGTTAACAAATTTAAAAACCTTTATGATTGGTTACTTGTTTGGCTTACGCATACTGATGTTTCTCGTAGGATCATGAATTTGCTTATGAAATTTCTAGACATTGCTTGTGAATTGTGTGTTTTGTTTTCAAGAAGGATTTGTATAGTTTCAAGAAGGTTTGTGTAGGTTCAGGAAAGCTTTCTAGAAAATTCGGTGTTAAAATTTTTTAAAATATTTTTTACTTGGTTACGCAGGATAGTAATACGATGTTAGACAATCCTTGTTCAGGAAGACTATCCTAATTTAGAACTTAATCTTTCAAAACAAAAAATGTTAATTTGGAACTTAATATTCCTAAATAAAATGTTAGGATAACAAGTAAAATATTTTGGAAGGACTTCCTAAAAGTTTAATATTTAATTAAAAAGAGAAATGTTATGATAGCTTCCTGAAAGTTAATATTCGCTTTAGGAAGGGCTTCCTGAAGCTCTTGCATAAGTTTATTTTTGAACAGAATAAAAAGAGTAAGAAATGTTAGACAATTCTTGTTCAGGATGACTATGGAACTTAATCTTCCAAAAAAAAAAAACATAATCAAAATCTATAAGAAAATTCATTGGCTATAGAAATCACCAAATAGAGTTCACTGTCTACAAAATAAAGAGCACATATCAAACAGAACATATTAAAATAGGATAGCTTTTGGCACTTTCAGGATTGGTTTCAAAAAATAAAAGGTGTGATTTCTTGCATAAATCTGTTTTCGAAGAGAATCAAACGCATGTAAGGAATGTTAGACAATCCTTGTTCATGATGACCATCCTAAAATGTAATTTAATCTTCCAAAAAAACATAATAAAAAAGATCTATAAGAAAATTCATTGGTTATAGAAATCACTAAATAGAGTTCATTGTCTACAAAATATAGTCTATCCTGAAGATTAATATATTATCCGGAAGCTCATCCTGAACACGCTCATGGCTTTCCAAATTTTATAATACATTATCTTCAATCCGGAAACCCATCCTGAACATGCTCAATGCTTTCCAAAATTTAGAATACATTATCCTGAAGATTAATATACTAAACTCTAAACTCTAAAACATCAACTCTAAACCCTAAACCCTAAATCTTAAACTTTAAAGCCTAAACTCTAAAAAAATTACCTTAAATCCTAAAACCTAAACCTTCAACCCTAAACTCTAAACATAAACCCTAAACCCTAAAAAAAATCAACCCTACACCCAAACCCCTAAAATATGAACTTTAAGCCATAAACCCTAAAACTTCAACTCTAAACTCTAAACTCTAAACCTTAAACCTTAATTCTGCAAGTCTCTTCCAATAAATTAAACCTTAAACATGGACTTAGAATTCTGCAAGTCGATTTGTGCTTTTTCTTTGTCAGTTTAGTTCATCAGTCTTCTACATTTGATGAAATTGATGGTTAATGTGCAACTCGGCTGAGAGAAAAACATAATTAAAGACTAATTAGTAGAAATATAACAACAAACGTTTACTTGAAGAAAAATGTTTTGTTTAGTGTTTAGGGACCAAATTGTTTAAAAACATCTGGTAGAAGTTAAAACATAAATATATTAACTGTTAATTTTATATTATAAACACTGGAAACATCTCCACAATTCAATTTATTTGGAAGGTTTAGTACATGATCAGGAATCATATCTTGAATTGTATAAGAAAGAAGAAAATCATACAAAAACAAACAAAATTAAGATTTTGAGTGCAATTGAGGAAAGTCTCAATTATACATGTCGTGGTTTAACCAAAATAAGAATTGCATATTGGTAAGAATCAAATGAAGTTGTCTAATTTTTAAAAATAAAATTACTTAGCTCATTTCTTCATCCTCAATTATACAAATGAAGTTATTTATTTTACTTGTTTGGCTTACGCATGTTGATATCTTTGGTAGGCTCGTGAATTACGCATGTTGATATCTTTGGTAGCCTCTTGAATTTTCTTATGAAATTTTTAGACAATTGCTTGGGCTTGTGAAGCTGTGTAGTGTTTTTAAAATTTCAGGAAGGATTTATGTAGTTCACGAAAGCTTTCCAGAAAATCAGATGTTAACAAATTTAAACTTTTTTTTTGCTTGGTGTCTTCTTGTTTGCCTTAGGCATGTTATATCTTTGGTAGGCTCGTGAATTTTCTTATGACATTTTTAATCTCTTGTTTGTGCTTGTGTTTGTGAAACTGTGTATTATTTTTAAAATTTTAGGAAGGATTTGTGTAGTTTCAGGAAAGCTTTCCAGATATTCGATGATAACAAATTTGATTTTTTTTTTTGCTTTGTGTCTTCTTGTTTGGATTACGCCTGTTGATATCTTTGGTAGCCTCTTGAATTTTCTTATGAAATTTTTAGACAATTGCTTGTGCTTGTGAAGCTGTGTAGTGTTTTTAAAATTTCAGGAAGGATTTATGTAGTTTCAGGAAAGCTTTCCAGAAAATCTGATGTTAACAAATTTGAACTTTTGTTTTGTTTGGTGTCTTCTTGTTTGGCTTAGGCATGTTATATCTTTGGTAGGCTCGTGAATTTTCTTATGGCATTGTTAATTTCTTGTTTGTGCTTGTGTTTGTGAAACTATGTACTATTATTAAAATTTCAGGAAGGATTTGTGTAGTTAAGGAAAGTTTTCCAGATATTCGATGATAGCAAATTTGATTTTTTTTTTCTTTTGCTTTGTGTCTTCTTGTTTGGATTACGCCTGTTGATATCTTTGGTAGCCTCTGAAATTTGCTTATGAAATTTTTAGACAATTGCTTGTCTTGTGCTTGTGAAGCTGTGTAGTGTTTTTAAAATTTCAGGAAGGATTTATGTAGTTTCAGGAAAGCTTTCCAGAAAATCCGATGTTAAGAAATTTGAACTTTTTTTGCTTGGTGCCTTCTTGTTTGGCTTAGGCATGTTATATCTTTGGTAGGCTCGTGAATTTTCTTATGACATTTTTAATCTCTTGTTTGTGCTTGTGCTTGTGAAACTATGTACTATTATTAAAATTTCAGGAAGGATTTGTGTAGTTTCAGGAAAGCTTTCCAGATATTCGATGATAACAAATTTGATTTTTATTTTTATTTTTTTGCTTTGTGTCTTCTTGTTGGGATTACGCATGTTGATATCTCTGGTAGCCTCTTGAATTTTCTTATGAAATTTTTAGACAATTTCTTGTGCTTGTGAGCTGTGTAGTGTTTTTAAAATTTCAGGAAAGATTTATGTAGTTTCAGGAAAGCTTTCCAGAAAATCCGATGTTAACAAATTTGAACTTTTTGTTTTGCTTGGTGTCTTCTTGTTTGGCTTAGGCATGTTATATCTTTGGTAGGCTTGTGAAATTCTTATGATATTGTTAATCTCTTGTTTGTGCTTGTTCAGGATGACTATCCTAAATTGGAACTTAATCTTCCAAAAAAATAACATAATCAAAAGGATTTATAAGAAAATTCATTGGTTATAGAAATCACCAAATATAGTTCATTGTCTACAAAATAGAGAACATATATCAAACAAAGAATATTAAAATAGGACAGCTTGAAGCATTTTCAATAATTCTATCTAGAAAGTGTTAAATGTGAAACTGTGTAGTTTTTCTAAATTTTCAGGAAGGATTTATGTAATTTCAGGAAAACATTCCAGAAGATTTGGTGTTAACAAACTTTGAAACAATCCATGAACCGTTTTTCATTTTAAACAATTTTCTGTGAGCAAGAACTTAATTAGCATCAATAGCCAAAACAAACCATACACTTCGTATTCAAAGCAATACCAACACCATACACTCTTAGCAATCAAGTGCACAAATCGAACTTCCTCATTCAAAAACTGTTAATAGGATGGTCGGGAACTCTAGGTACTACTATAGACACAAAGTCTTACTCTCAAGTTACTACTAATCTTAAGTTGTTTATCATTCGAGAGATAAAGATTTCAAAGCTCAAGGAAGACAATGATTCAACACAAAGAGCACTGAAAATTGAGTTTTAATTTAAATTCAGACAAAAATATAAGGATTCAGACACAACTTGACTAGAAAGAAAAAAAACTGAAATAATAAAATGATGCGTATCACAAGGCTTATAGACTTGAGAACACAAGACAACACTCTTCTCCACAAGGTTTCTAATCATCAAAGGTAGTCTTCTTACCTGCCAAAATAAAACCAAGCATAAGTGAGAAGCTGGTTGTTACTTTACTATCAAGATTAAAGACATATCAATAACAAATTAACATACCTGAGGGCTGAGGCAGTTTAACTAGTTCTGCCGTATCCACGGCCACCGCCATTGTCTCTTCCTCTGCCACCACCAAAATGACCACGGCCACCGCCATTCTCTCTTCCTCTACCACCACCAAAACGACCACGGCACACCGTCTCTTCCTCTACCGCTGTATCCTCCGCTCCTTCCACCACCACTGTATCCTCCGCTCCTATCACCACCACCATTATCGAATGTTAAAAGAGTCATGACCAAAATGATCATGTAAAAAAAAACTGCAACCAGTGAGAAGCTTGTACCATCCCTTTAACGAACACATAGCTTCCATCAACAGTTTTAAAGGACAAGTACTTTGTAACGTCAGTGTGAATAAGAACAAGCTTGCCATTTCCCATCATAAACTAATCCAAAATGGAATCAAACCATGGAGTTTCACGTCAAAGACCATAACACTCTACTTCCTACTTCAAGCATTGGAAACTGCGTTGTGGAATACCAACGGCTAAAACCAAACGAGACAGCTGACAAGTGGATACCTCTCCAAGGAGTGACACGTGGAGAGATCCGTGTAAGAGTCACTAGGAAAGTCACAGAGGCTCCAAGAAGAGCCAGCGCGGATTCTAGCTCTCCGTTTTACAAAGCCTTGTTACTGTCTAACCAGATGAAGCAGGTGATGATAAAGTTTCAGAATTTGATTGATGATGGAGATCTTGAAGGTCTTGGTGAAGCTTTAGGAGAGCTGGAGAGTTTGGAGGATGAACAAAAAGAGTATTTGGTCCAGCTTCAGACAGAGCAAACGCTGCTTATTAACAAGATTAAAGATCTTGGTAAGGAGATTCTTAACTCGTCCCCGGTTCAGGCCACGTCTCTATTACCTTCCAGGTCCAGGTCAGGTTCGGGAGGTGGTTTGTATAGCAGGAGAGTAACAGCGCCAATGAAGTGTTAGTTGGTTTGGGATCAACCTACAGAAACAATCTCTGGTGTATATAGATAGATATGTAGGGCATTGGATAAAATGTTCAAAGAGAGTGTGATGAGTCTTTTGTGTTACAGAAGGTAGAAAGCATCATTTGTAAGTTTGTTTTTATTTCCAGTGTTATTCAGTATCAACAAAAGCAGTTGTAAGTGATTTGTAAAACCTAAACACTGGTTTTCTGTTCCTAATCTGAGAAATAATTTACAGAAAACTACAGAAGAAAATTATTATTTTAACATCATGGTTCTAGTCTATGTTTAGTTCACTACACTAAAAATCTCTTATTCTCACTAAAGTTGCATATCTAAATGACTCGGCTTAAGAACAAACCTACTTGTTACAAGCATGGTTGTTTGTTCAACTGATAACCATAAACAGATGATGAATAAACTAGACTAGATCATAATTATTCCATCATACATTAAGGATTAAATAAAACGGTATGATGCAGTTTTAGATGACTTGGTCTGTTGGTCATTCTGTAAGTTTACAAAAGCTCTTGCCAAGTTAACCTCTACGTAAAACATCAAAATCAAAAAGATTCCACAAGAGCCTAGTCAATCTAATTCCCCAATTTCATACGATCTTATAATAACATTCCACACGATTACTCCGAAACAGAGGCGTGATGAAGAGTGAAGAGTGAAGAGTGAAGAGTTCGTACCTTGAGATTCATGAGACTGAATCGATCTCCAGCGTAACTGATTACGAATCCGCGGTTGTTAGCAATAACCCACGAAAACAGATCATGAATCAAAAGCCAATCAGAGACGAATCGAGAGACCTTGACACCATCGACGGAGAGGAGACCGCTGAGGATACGCTCCTTGAGACCGCTGCCGAGAACAATAACTTCGTACTCTTCATCCATCCTTGATTTCGAAAGTTTCGTCGAGAAATGAGAGAGAGAAAGGAGTTGGGAGATTAGTGACGACTATATTTTTCTAATCTCTATTTTTTTTTTAATTACAAAAAAGGATATAAGGGTAAATGATATCTTTAATGAAACTTATTTTTGTGATTTTTGATATTGAGTGCTAGTTTAGGAAGAAAAACTTGGTTTGGTGTTATCTTGGTCTTTATTTCTTTAGGTAATTAGATTAGTCAATTTGTATATATTGTAAAGCTGGCCCAAATAGATAGTTTTTTATAAGACTTTCAATTTTTATTAATAACTAATCCCATTTTGTTTTTAATATACTGTAATCTATGTTGTCAAACAACAATATATTCTTTTTATTAAATGTTATCGTTGTTTCCATTAAATGTTATTCTTGTTTTCAAACAACTATCAAATGTATTTCAGTTTTAATAATATAGATATTTTAATCAAGCAGCAACACTTTTTTTTTTCTTTTTTGTAGCAACCATTATCTTTGTTTGATTAAATATGTGATGATCAATGTTAAACCTCCAAGAAGAAGAAGAAGAAGAAGAGATACATTACTATTCTTTAACAAAATTATTTATTTAGGCAGCGGACACGGACGAGTCAACAACGACTTGGTTTGACTGCACGCTTTTGTAAGGACATCTCTTCGCAACAACTACGTAGACGCATAAATTGGCAGCAGTTACACCGGCTAGAAACCAGTAGAACCGGTCCAACCGGCTACTGTTCAGGTCCTTCCCGAACCAACTCTCGACCGAGAAATCATCAGCAATAGTATCAACGGCTGTGATCAGTAGATTGTTAAGGAAGCTAGCTGCGCCTAGCACGCTTAGGTAAATCGCTATACCTAAGCTTCTCATAGAGTCAGGTACTTGGTCGTAGAAGTACTCTTGAAGTCCAACGAGTGTGAACGCGTCCGCAACGCCAATGACTATAAACTGAGGAGCTAGCCATATCACACTCATGGGTTTGTTGTTTTCAGTACGGTCCAATCTTTTTTTCTCAACTAGAGCTGCAATGATCATTGTGGTAAGGGAGAAAAGCATACCGGTCCCGATTCTCTGGAGAATGTTGATTCCTCTTTGGTTCCGTGTGATGCGTCTTAGCAATGGAACAAGGAGTTTATCATAGATAGTGATTGAAATGATCAATGAGAGAGCTGTGAGGGAGAACATGGAAGCTGGTGGGACTGTGAAGCTGTTGGTGCCGACGATGTGTCTGTCCATGATGGTTGCTTGTTTGATGAAGAAAGTATTAGTTTGTGTAGCACAAATGCCAAAGACCAATGTAGAGAGCCATATGGGGATCACGTTGATGATCAGCTTGGCTTCCTCTACTTTAGTCAATGTTACAAGTCTCCATGGACTCTGTTTCTGGATATCAAGAGGAGTGCTGTCTTCGATTATTGCTGCCTTGTCAAGAAATCTGCAAAGCAAAAAAAAAATAACCACAATGTTATAATGAATGTGAAATAGACAATGCAAAAGAGATAATAAAACATGATAAGTTAAAATACAAAGATTTAACGTGGTACACCAAAAATTAACTACTTTCATTTTAAAAAAAAAATTTATTTGAATAAATTTAACATTCATTCAAAAAAAAAAATCAGAAATTGACATAGACATTTTTGAGTTAGTTTCTACTCACTTAAGATGCTTTGTGTGGGAGAGAAGCTGACCAGTAGCAAACTCTGCCTTGGAAACTTCATGAAGTAGAGAAGGATCTGAAGGATAAGGAAGATTTCTTTTGGCAATGGCGGCAACAAGTACCTGTAATATAGGGGTCAAAGGGCTACCAGAAGGTGTCCGGTACCGATAAAATGGTTTTCCAGTGAGGAAGATGAGAAGTGAAATAGCCATGATTGTAGTGAGTATGATGCCAGCAACACCCCAACCAACCCGGTCTTCGATATAGACAAGGACAGTCACAGCCGTTAGGATACCAGCACAGAGACAAACGTTCCACCAGTTAAAATAAGACATCCTCATCTTTCTTTCTTCAACATGATCACCGTCAAACTGGTCAGCACCAAAGCTCTCAAGGCATGGCTTATGGCCACCGGTTCCTATGGAGATCATGTATATGGCAATGAAGAAGGCTATTTCGTGTGCTTTTCTAGGTTCAATGCACACTTCTTCATGGCATGGTTTCAAGCCCGGTATGAACCATGACATTGTTAAAAGGACCAAACCCTGTTTAAGCAAGAGAAAGTGATTAATGTTGTGTTTGGAATATTTTGTTTTTTTAATGAACCATTCATATTTCCGTAAAGAATAGGTAAGAGGGAACAGACGAGTTCTTGGCCGTCATCAACTTTTTGGAATATTTTAAGGTTGAATTAAGGCAATGTTATATTACCATAAGGTAAATGGTGGTTGCAACCAAGACAGTGGTGTAACGGCCAAGATAAGCATCTGCTACAAAGCCTCCAAGAAGAGGCATCAAAGTAGTGACACCTGACCAGTAGTTCACATTTTTTACAGCCGTCTTGAGATCTTGGTGGATAATTGTTGTTAGGTAGACCACTAAGTTTGTAGCTAAACCAAAGTAACTCAATCTCTCACTGAACTCGATTGCTGCAGGGAAGATGGAATAAAAGACTTATAAGATTTACAATCTTGGGCTACTATTATGTGGTATAACGTTTATGTAGAGAAATCTCTGTGAAAGTATTATTACCGATGACGAAGAGTGCAGCTTTCCAAGCACCAGTTCGAGCCCGAAGAGGAACATGTCCTCTTCTGTCGAGAGAAGAATCAAGAACCCATTTCTGTTTATCATCGTACGAATCTTGAAGTTCTGTCCCAGTATTATTATGCTTCATATCTGTTCAAAGTTAACAACACAATAAAGAGTTGATTCTTGAGGAGTGTGTGTGTGTGGGTGTGAACTGTGAAGTGATTTGTTTAAGTAGAACCAAACTTGGTCTTCTTTATATAAGCTTAAGCTCCCTGTTGAGTAAATATCCTTAATAGTGTTTTATAGATTCTCTGGCCACATTTTCTTATTTACAGCCACAAATAGTTTTCTATTTTATATTTTGTTTTACATTAACGTGGAGGATGGTGCGTTAACACAAGGTCGTATTCAAACAGATGAACTTGCAAGAACTCACAAGTGTAAGAGAGAATAATAATCAAGGAGATCATGTAAACACACAAGAAAGCTCTCAACTTGATTCCTTGTCCAACAACTTGGCCTATTAAAACTTATCTTAAACTTCGTATTTTCATCAAATCTAAACATTAACTGAAACTCCCAAGTTTAAAAATCTAATCATAAACTTGTCCTTAGACAAAATTTAATACTCCTTTTTAACATTTCTTATTGATAGGTCGCGAAAACACTTACTCTTGTCAGAATCATTTCTCCAGACCAATACTATCATCTTCTTTAAATACTAGGCTCTAAACCCACTATGATCATTGATGCTCTACTTTAACAAAAACAATGAAAGATGAATACTTAGTCCAATGAGTTGAATGCTTCCTTTATTAACTTGTATGGAAATAGCATCTCACTTCTTAGACAGTTTTATCATTTACTTTACTACTCAGTTCCCACACCTTATGATCATATTCATACCTAACATCCAACAGTCACAAAACATTAAAAACGGCAACACATCACTAGATTTATCTCTATTATAGCTTATAACACCTACCTTAAACATAGTTTACATGTTTCATTTTACTTCAGTACACTCCGAAAAGAGAAAAAGAATATAATATCAGCTAATCATTAATCATATAACAAAAGCTTAACGCTTTGTACAACGCTTAATGCTATAAACACCAGTTACAGTACATGTTACAAGACAATCATTCTCAATCACACAATGATTTGAATAGCCTTTCTAGAAAAGATAATTCTAAGGTTATGTGACCAATGAAAGATTAGCCTATGATCAGGCATGGAGAAGCTGTCATTTGCAATAGCTAATCAAAATCCACACATATCTTCCAAATCTTGTCTATTTTAGACGCTCCAATAGCATTCATTTGTTTTATACTAAACAATCAACTTTTATTATCATGAGTCAACTTCTATCTTGTATTGAATGGGAGTTTGTGGCTATAGCTGAGGAAAGTAGATAAACCTTTCCTCATAGTGCTGTAAGCACTATTGACTGAAACATGTAAAAGCAATACCAACAGTAAAAAAGTAGTGAAAAGATAGAGAGAATCTTCTAGCTAGACTTATCGCAGATTAGCATGTAAATAGTCGGCATCTCCCAACGAATGGTCTATTTTTCATGTGTATTTTCACCACCTTAGCAAGAAAACGTGTGTTGCCCAGAAAAGTAGGACCACCATTTAAGTTGACAATGAGGTTACTACTTTAACATGGTTCTCAATGATAACACATACATTCAAACAAAATGAGATTTGATGGAAAATACTAACCCTCCACTATGTATTCTCCTATTTCATGTGCGTTGCTCCTCATTGTAATACAGTCTCTCATTGTTATGCACTGCTAAAAACAGTTGAAGTGGGTCACATGCCAGCACAAATGGCTGTAAGTGATAAGAAGCACCATGCACAACGTTGATTAGTCAGAATATGTTACCGTCAAGATCTGAAGATGATAAAATTGAACATTGGTAAAAAAAAAGCTAACCAATCAGAGCAGAATACATAAAAGGAATAATAATAGTTGTTTATCATGACATGGAGTCCAACTCTCTAACAGTTGATTATGCACCACACAAAAATAGTGGCGACAAAGTGAATTGAGGATCATGCCATTATCATATAGGTTTCATCCAATTATTAAGTATGGCCCATGCTGAGCCAGAACATCGAAAAAAAGAGCTTCAGTATCATGTGACCAAAACAAGGTAGTGCTTTATGACCATAACCAGCAATGTTTTCTAGCAAGCTACCACAAGAAAACTCACTACTCAAAGAACAATGGTTGAAAAATAATGAGATTATAAATTTTCATTGTGGTATAAACTTTTATGCGTTAGTTATGATATATCCAGGTACTTGCAAAGACCTCTCTGACAATGTCTATGCGAGGAAAATCGAAGGATACCAAAACATGACGATGCTTCAAACTTACGTTGCCAACAAATTTTCTTTCACACAATAACCTCCTCTCTTGTTACATAAAAAAAGACTTGAGCTATCGTTTGGTCTAACGACAATACTGAAATCTTACATCCGCGATCCTAGGTTTAGTCAAATAGAAATATTATATCTCTAACCAAACAAATAACACATGAGACAATCTTTTCACTTCTCTTTACCATGTGAACCCAAGTATTAGAAATAAATTCGTAGGAGACAGCTGAAAGGCACTAATCTTGTTGATCAAACATAGAGGTCAAGAAAGATGGCAGGAAACAAATCATACCTCAAAGATAGACATTCACTGATGTGGATGATATACTTTATAACAGAATGGTGATATCACTTCTAGTGTATCTGCAGATTCATTTTTTGACTCGCAATCTCAGTGGCAAAGATGCCAATAGACAATTATATACTTTCCTATCAGCAGTAACAAATCTCACTTCCTGGAAACTTAACATCCTCACAAAAAATTAACAATATACATTTGGTAATGGTTTTGATGTGTGATCAATAACAATAGATAACCATATTGAGTAGTGACCAGGACGTGCTGAACATAGCAACGAGATGAAACATTTGTCTTTGCCTCCAAAACTGTAGTAGTTAATATATATATAGATTATGCAGCTCCCAAATTGATTAAAAATATTGTATTAACCATATGACCCTTAATCCATAATTGTTCCAAATTCTATAAATCTCAGAACCGGTCCTAATCCCACCACATAAAGACTAACATTCTACAGAGCTACAGGTTCTTATTGTTTTGCAGACACAAACCTGAGAAAAAATACAAATATACAATACTAAAACTAAAGGTTCTGTGATTAATCTGTTACATGTTTTACATATACACGTTTATGTTTCAGACACAGACATCATCACTGATTATATAAAGACATCAACAAATAAAAGAAACACTAGTTTAGTAACTAAGATCCAACTTCGTATCTCCCATCGTTCTGCAATGTCATATCGTATACCTGAGACGATCTTCTTGATTTACCTCCATTAACAACACGCTTCTCCACCCTCTTACCTTCTTCCTTCTTCACCCTCCGACCACGACGCATCCCACTGACTCCTTCCTGTTTCCGCAAACCCTCTTCTCCCTCCGACTCACCGGAGCTCCCCAAACTCCGGTACGGCTTCACACTATGAACAACACCTTTAGGGAAAAACCTCGCAGAAGGCAAATCATCCACAGCCTCAAACACCTGCGGCCCATCCCTCTCGGTCCAGAGATCAAACCCGCCCGGTTTCTGAAACCGGTCCGCTAAAACCTTAACCTGCTCGTCGGCGCAAACCGAGAATAGATTGGGAGGTTTCTGAACCGGTTCCCAGGGTCGTTCAAGCTCAGCAACCGCCGCTTTTAGCTCTGCGCGTTTACGCATCTCGTAGATTTGGCGTTCACGTGATAACCGCGCCTTGAGGAGCTGTTTCTGCTTCTTGGCTTGCATCCTTTTCCACTGCCACTTGGAGACGCCGCCTGGGAAGGTTCTTGGACCGCCGCCCATACGGATGACGGTGGATTTTCGCGGGTGTGGAGAGGGGTTGAGAGAGAGGAGAGAGAGCTTTGAGTTGAGGTCCGTCGAGGAGATTGAGGAGGAGAAGGAGATTGGTTTGTAGGAAGAGGAGGAGAGGTGGAATCTGAGCATTGCAGCCATTGAAAGTGAATTTTGGTATCCTATCAGCACCACTAAAAAAATGAAACGATAAAATGGTTTCTGGAAAGAAAATTGACGGTGTAAATGGGCCTGTACTAGACGATGGATTTGGATTCAGTTTAGGCCCAAATATGCTGGATACTCTGTTTCTTACCCCTCGGCCCAACCCACATTCCGAAACGCCCGGTCACGAAAAACGACAGGCATTACCCAAAACCGTGGGGGGAGGGAAACGCAGCTATTGAACTAAACGGCTATAATCACAAGGTAGATTTAAAATATGTATATATTTATTATAAATAATAATAAAAACATTTGAAAGACATAAATTTTATTAAATAAAGTTATTTATAATACTATTCCAAATATATCTCTATAATATTATTTGAGAAGTCACTTTCTTAGGTGTCGCGCTCACGATAACTCTCACTCTGGTTGATTACTATGATACCCCTAATGAATTAAAAATATAATTAAATATTATTTCCTTTTTAAAAATTTCCAAATAACAATATAAAATAAAAAGGAAACATTTATAAAATTTACAAAACTATTTAAAAACGAAAATATAAGTATATATAATATGGTTTAATAAAAAAGGAAAGTTCACAAAATAGTAATATTTAATTTAAATATATTTTAAATAACATAAAATATACCTTTGAAGTAATAAAATACTTTATATCTNAATATAAAATAAAAAGGAAACATTTATAAAATTTACAAAACTATTTAAAAACGAAAATATAAGTATATATAATATGGTTTAATAAAAAAGGAAAGTTCACAAAATAGTAATATTTAATTTAAATATATTTTAAATAACATAAAATATACCTTTGAAGTAATAAAATACTTTATATCTATATCTTCTTAGATAAAAAAAACAATATCTGTATATAATGTGATTTCATAAAAAAAATTCACACAAAAAATATTGCTATTAGAAAAAGAAATATTTATCTTTATATATATATTTTCAAAATAATTATTTTTGTATATATCTATCTATTTTATTAGATGATTACATAAAATAATCAACTAACATAAACTGATATATGTTTAATTGACATTTTTTATAATTAGTATTATTGAAATTATTTTTTTAGTTATTTATTTGACTACAATATCTTACAGTTACAATAAAAATATAAATTCTATTTTACTTATATTGTATAATTTCTCAAAAACAATCACTTTTTACTAACTATTTTAAGAGATACTAAAAATAAAACTAAAAATAAATTTAATAATAAACATCTTTTGATTAAGTAACTACAATTATTTTAAAATATCACAACACTATATAATTTAACGAGGTAAATATATTATATTTTAATAGTTGAATTTATCTGGTTTAAGAATAAGGATTCTCATTACTTAAGTATTTTGATTATGGTTATATTAAGTTTCACAAACATAAAAATAGAAAATAACTACAATTATTTTAATATACCATAACATTATACAATTTAACGAGGTAGATATATTATATTTAATAGTTAAAATTATCTGTTTTCTTAATAAATCTTTTGATTTTTAATTTTCTGTTTTTATGTTTGTGAAACTTAATATAACCATAGTCAAAATATTTAAGCAAATCAGAATCCTTATTTTTAAAATTATTTAAAATAAATTTCAGTTTACCATCCAATCAATCTAAAGCATAAATTTGTTTAGAATTTAGGGGAATTTATAAAATATTTTAATTATTGTAAATATGGATATGTGTTCAAAAGATTCTAAAAATTCATTAGTTACTTATGTATGTAATTTAGAATCAGACAATTTAGTTTTTATATTTTTTCCTTTTAAGCACAAAAAAATCTTAAGTTATATATAATTTTACTAAATATAATATATTTCTAAGATAACAACCAGCATAAATGCAAATAAAACAATTAATCAAAAATAATATATTTAAAAAATAAAAGATTATAGTTGAATTTAGAGAAATAGATTGAATCCAATATATCTAAATGATAATTAAATCGATCGTAAAAATAATAAAATAGACTAAATATAACATATCTAAAATTATATATATAATTAAAGTAATATAATATTATAATATAAATTAGACATACAAACTATAAATTAATTTAAAAATTAAAGTAAATATCAATCAATTATTATTTTTATAAGTATACATGTCCGTGCATGAGCACGGGAAAATCACCTAGTATTTAATAAAAAGCTTACATAAAATTAATTTTAAGGCTTTTTTGCTCTACAACCAATAAATTATTGAGGTATACGTACGAAAAGGTCACTTTAGAATCGAGTGAACCACTCAGGTAAGAACACCAAAGAGAAACGAAGATAAGTGTGAGCGCATACATCCCACGGCTAGAATCAGGCCACCCCGGGAAAACTACCTCGCAGTTGTAGCTCCAATAAAAAGTTTGGTGTAGCAATATAGCATGACGATCTGTCCGGCGTCTACGTTGGCGTTTGCGTTGTGGGTGTGTTCCTGCCGACGTTGTTTTTTTCCTGGCAACATCTCCTCTAATTTGGGGGAAAAGGAGAAATGGGTAGTCGCTGTCAACCTGTCATAGGTTGTGGTAATAGGGGTCTCTCTAGTCTATCTCCTATCTAAAAGTGTTTCTTCTTAAAGGGAAAATTTGGGTTCTACATATCATATGTTATGTTTATATTTTGAAGAAAACTCAAGATTTGCTTGTCGGATTTTATTTCCAATATCTATAGACATGTCCATCAACAAAGTATATATATATTTATTTATTTATTTATCACCAAAAGTAGTTTTTAGCTTACATATACCACATTAACCCACAGATATATATACATACATATCAGTTCGTAAACTATATTTTCAACGTCCATACCAGTTGGGGAACATGAAATCATCACAAAGATGTGTGTTTTACATGGAAATTAGTGGGAAAGAGACTTTAATTAGCTAAAGAAAGCAATTATCAGTAGATACCAATTTTTTAGTCAGCCTTTGAGAATATGATCAAGCCTAAGGTCTGTGAGACTCAAGCTACTAATTCCAAAACATATATTCAGCAGTTAAGTAAAAAAACTAGCTTAAACACCGTTTATCATGATAAGATTAATTGAGGACATACAGACAACTCAACTGAGCATGTGCGGATAAGCCTGCATTTGACAGACATGCTTCACTGCTTTACGCCTTACCCACATGCTCCATATCATATCCTAGCACGTATAGAATTAATCTTAATTGATATTTAAACCTTGTGATAAGTTTTTCTTTTCTCCTGTTAATGAACCTTTGTAAGTATTAAGTTGCCATTGGCCACTACTACTTTAATCACCCGACATCACTTTCGAAGTTTTAAAATAAAGCGTCAATAACGGTTGGTGGATTCTTCATCTCGTGACCATTGACTACTTTTTAAATTTTATAAATTTTTCAATATTCAGCGATCGATAAGACTGTGTTTTCTTTCAAGGATATTCAATTGGCCAAGAGAGCTTTAATCATAATTGATATTTTACTGATGGAATCATCTATAGCTAGATGTTGTTTCCCATTATTAACAAATTAAAACCGTTGAGAAATAGCCTGTGCATGCATGAAAAAAGAACAAAACTAAAACATGAAAAGGCATTACTATAAGAAATTAAGAATACAGTGCAGTGTCAATGATTGCTAGATTTTTTTACTTTCTAGAATAGCAAGACGAGGGTGAAGACTAAAGAACAATAATGGCATCCACAAAGTGTTACGAACTTACGTGTTAGGTGTTTCGACCAATCCTAAAAACAAGTGTATGAATTGACTTTCAGTACTGGTTATTGTTCCTGACGAGAGGACTTTTCTTAGATAAGCATTTTCCATTGCTTGCATATTATGCAGTAACATGTTTTGACTTGAATATCTTAATTTGATTCAAAACAAGAAAAAGGGTAAAGGTGAAAGTATTATTGATATCTTTATTTTCTAAAGTTTATTAAGTTTCTTCATGTATTAACTAACATATGATAATTACAACTTGACTAATGTTGTAGATTTGATTAGGGGTGGACATACACTTCGGATATTTTATCAGTTCAGTTTGGATCAATTCGATTTGGTTGATTCGGTTCTTGAATTTTCTAACTGAAGTAAACCATAATTAGTTGGTTTAGATCAGGTTTCTTAGTTTAAATATTCTTTGAAAAGAATATGTTTTAAAACATAAACACATGGTTATGAAATTAACATGTTGGTGACTATGAAAAAATAAATTATGTAAACTAAATCAAATATAAAACTGAAACAAATATCTTTAAACACACACACACAAAATCATAAGAACACAATCAAATCAAGTTAACTAAAGTAAATAGAAAATGTAAAAAAACATAGTTAATAATGTCTCTTAGACAGAAATTCTGTAAATTAAATCCAACATAAAACTGAAACAAAAACTTTAAAACCCACAAAGGTTTATAAAAACACAATCAAATCAATGTTAACTAAAAGTAAATAGAAAATTTAAAAACTCAAACATGGTTGACTTAACAGTGATTTAATTTTAAGATTTTAGTATATTATATACTGCTAGTATATTTAATTCAAATAATAACAAAAACACTTTGATTTCTTTATTTGGTTCGGATCGATTTTGGTTCGGTAGGTTTGAGTTGGAAAAATCTTAACCTGAACTATTTGATAATAGACTTCGGTTTGGTTTGTATTGGTTTCGGTTCGGTTCGGTTGGTTCTATTTGACTTGGTTTTCATTGGTTTTTCTGTCAATCCCTATAGGGATAATGATGTAAAAAAAAGACTAGTGTTGTAGATCAATCAAGCTTTCAGCAATAGTTAAATTCTTAAGAAACAAATTTTGACAAGAAATATACTATCAATTACCATTTCTTCCTAGCAATCAACCTGATAGATTCATTCATTAAGACTTCAACAAAAAATGTCTTTTTTGTTACAAAAGTCAATATCTTGCGTAAGAAAATTAAAGTGGAGCCCATATCATTTATTCATCACAGTATAATTTGTCAAATTCTTCTTCTATATAAAGAGTGTATTGCT